GAGGCAGGAGACTCGCTTGAGCCTAGGAGTTGGAGGTTGCTGTGAGCTGTAATGCCACAGCACTCTGCCCAGGGGGACAGCTTGAGGCCCTGTCTCAAAAAAAAAAAAAAAAAAAAAAAGAGAAAGAAATCCCACTTGATATTTGATCATAGGAAATTTAATATAAAGAAATGTTAAATATGTATAAAGCTGTTTATCAGGTAATTTAAAAGATGTGAAGCCAACACAGAGGTATATGAAAGTAGGGATTGTAAGAAGCATCTGGCGCTCTTCTCACGGGGGCACCAGCAGGGGCAGGTGAGAACTGAAGTTTGCAAAGTGTAAGCATTAGTGGGAGAGAATTTTAGCTCAAGGCAATCAAAGTGCATTTTGTCAAAATGGTATTTGATCTGGGCTTCATTAAGTAATGAAAGAACATGACCTGGAAAATAGGAGGTGCTTGTGAAATACTTGTCAAAAAATGAAACAACAAAGGAACAGAGGGAAGAAAAATGTACAGGTGAAAAGCATGAAAAATTTGGGAGAAACTGAGTTTGGCTGGGGTTTGGGTGGTAGACAGCAGTTGGAAATAAGGCTGCATAGATGGTTTAGGGATGGAGCAGACAGCCCAGAGAGTTGATCTTAGGAAGCCATTGACATCTGAGTAGGGAAGTGACAAAGCCTGGAACAATGACTTCTGGAAAGTTGATTTGTCTGTAGTAGAAAGAACTGGAAGGAGCAAGAAACTGAAGTTACTGGCTGGAAGGCCAAAACTGATGAGCTGGACTGAACTGACAGTAAGGATACAGGAGAGAGGAACAGACGGGGACAGATTGTAGGCAACCAAGAGATGACTTCAACGCTGACTTTGGTTGGGAGCAGGGAGGAGGAAGGAAACAGGTGCCTTCTGCATCTGGGCCATTAAGAAGAATGGGAAGAATTCTCTCCACTCCCCTTTGCAAACTTCAGCTCCCACCTGTCCCTGGTGGTCCCCAGCCCGAAGAGTGCTGAATGCTTATAATTACTACTTTCATATACTTTTGTGTTGTCTTCACATCTTTTAAATTACCCGATAAACAGCTTTATACATATTTAACATTTCTTTTTATTGAATTTCCTGTAGTCAAAAATCCGGTAGATTTGTCTCATTAGACCTTGAATAATAATATACACCTGTGTCTTCAGCGTCTCTTCCACGCTTTTCCCTGTTCGTATATGTAAGAGGAGCTTTTGAAGGGCCATGATAAGTTCTGTGGGGACAGACAGGACAGTCTAGCATGCGCAAAGTTGGCAATGCAGGTCTGCAGCTTGCGGAGTCCAGGCAGGAGGTGGCGGATTTGGGCGTCGTCTTCACAGAGATTCGGACCCAGGGCTGCAGGCTGCGGGAACACAGTAGGATCTCAGCCTGTCCTCGGGCCAGAGGCTGGGGCTGGACTGCCTCGTGATTTGCAGCTGTCACCTAGTTGAGCCTCATGAATAGCAAGAGGCGGATTCCCAGTTTATTCTGCTCCCTTGCGACGCGGGGAACCGAGGACTCACTCGGCTTCCCCAGCACTCAGCGCACCAGCCGGGGGCTGGATCCCGGGCGCCTGCGGCCCCGGGGCAGGTGCGCCAGGGCGGAGGCGCGCAGGCGCAGTTAGGCGCCGCATCGCTTAGCAACCAGGGACAACAAGCACTAGAAGGCGGGCTCCCGCGGCGGCGGCGGCAGCGGCGTAGCGTGCTGGGTCTGAGGAACCTCTGCTCCGCCCGACCGCCCCGGCAGGTAAAGGCCCACCCCGGGGGTGACAGGCTCAGGGCGAAACCTGGGGAAGGCGAAGATGCCGCACGGCTGGGGACTGCGGGGGCACTGAGAGAACAACTTGTTGGGGGCTGTCGGTTCCTGTCCCGCACCAGCAGGCCCAGGCAAGCGTCGGGGTGGCTTTCCCGAGCATCCTGCCCACCTCCCATTTAACAGGCGAGAAAACTGAGACCCGTAGAGGGCATGGAAGGGTAGTTGCTGTGAGCAACTCCAGTGGCCGCAATTTCTTAAAGCCAGTCTCTAGGAAATATTCAAATTGTGGGCTGAACGTTCACCAAGGAGTAATACAAATGATCAATAAACTTGTGTGTGGGGGGATGTGGCTCCAATAATCAAGAAGGTGCAAATTTAAAGCAGCCTTCTCCGCATATCCAGTACCCTGAACTTCGCAGCTTTTCACCCAGTTAATTTACTGCTTAGAGATTCATCTTAAAGATGAAAGTTTTATGTCCAGGGGTGTTCATTTCTGCTTTAGTCATAATTCCAGAAAGTTGGAAACAAATGTCCAATCATCAGAGGCTAGCTAGATGAATAATGGATTTTAAAATATTATTTTAAACGGAGAGTATGGTGCTCCAAATGGTGACTGAGATTTCGTGGACTAATTTAAAAATTAATTTAAAAATTCAGTAGGAAAATGGTCCTAGGAAGGGGAGGTGAGGGTAGAGGATAGAAATTCAGGCAGGATGGTAAAATCGCTTACAGAAAAAACGCTGGCGCGGTGGCCCACGCCTGTAATCCTAGCACTCTGGGAGGCCGAGGCGGGTGGATCTGAGCTCAGGAGGTGGACACCAGCCTGAGCAAAGAGAGACCTCATCTCCACTGAGTATAGGAAAACTAGCCGGGGCTTGTGGTGGACAACTATAGGCCCAGCTCCCAGGAGACTGAGACAAGAGGATCACCTGAGCCCAGGAATTTGAAATTGCTGAGAGCTATCATGCCACAACACTCACACTCTTATTTATCTAGGGCGACTGAGTGAGACAATGTCTCAGAAAGAAAGAAAGAAAACACACAAAAAGGAATTCTAGGGAGAGTATTTCTTTGATTTATTTTAATCGTTGTTTAATCTTTGTTTTCAAAATTCTCTACAATATATTGTAGATGAAATATATTATCTTTAGAAGGCAATGGAAGCATCTCTGAGGCTCATCACCCCTTGCCCACACTAGCTGTTACTCTTTCCCCCTCTAACTAGTATGCTTAATATGGTGATAAAACACACAGGCTTCTACCTTCACTGTTCTGCCTAGGACTAGCCCTGCACCCTTCATCATGTAATTACCCAAAAACCCTATCCTGAAATAGGAAAACTTAGTTTCCCAGTGAAAATTAGGTGATTTAAACAAGTTTATGCAGGTGTAATATAATTGCTTTTCGAATGTCATTCATAATTCTTTTATAAAAAGGCTGCTATATCTTGGAATTGGTTATAGAGAGTGATGGACTCATATTTTCCTAGAAATTAATGATAGGACTGATTCTCATTTGTCCAGAATAGTTTCTGTGTGTCTGCCTAAAATATTATAGGCAGAAGGTGGAGGGCCTGTTCACTTTTCAAGCACCTCTGAAAGCTGTTTGAGATTTAAAAAAAGAAATATTGGCTCTAAAATATAAAAAGAAAATAGAAAAATTAATGTTAATTGAATGTTTTTATTATTACATTTTTATTACATTTGAAAACAGTTTTCTCATTTTGCAAGAATTTCCAGGTGTGCATACTGATTGCTGAGTAATTTCAAATGCAAATTTCAAAATTTTTTATGGTGAAAGTTATATTTAATAGGGGAATGTGGGTATGTTTTCACATTTTAATGTATTGGGTATAGCATAATTAAGCTTGCCTGGTCTCTCAAAGATCTTAAAAGGAATGAGGTCTGAAGTTAGAAATCCAGAATAGATGACTTTCTGAAGTCCCAATGAGTTTCTACCAAAAAGTGGCTTTTTTTTTTTTTCTGAGACGGAGCCTCAAGCTATCCCCCTGGGTAGAGTGCCATGGCATCACGCTCACAGCAACCTCCAACTCCTGGGCTCAAGCGAGTCTCCTGCCTCAGCCTCCCAAGTAGCTGGGACCACAGGCGCCTGCCACAATGCCTGGCCATTTTTTGGTTGCAGCTATCATTGTTGTTTGGCGGGCCCGGGCTGGGGATTCGAACCCGCCACCTTAGGTGTATGTGGCTGGCGCCTTAGCCGCTTGAGTGGCTTTTTTAATGTATGTGATAATGTATCTGGTCAGTTTTGCTCATGGTAGGAGTTGCTTTTGACCCTCGACAAGCAATTTGAACTAACCCTGACATTGTAGATTCTCTGCAAGGGTTTTCTACTTCTCAGGGTTTCTCTTGAGGCTAAGGTAATTTCCTTGGGGCTAGAATAGATTATCTGAGATTTTTCTGATGCTAAACATAATCTCACAAACTCTCATTGGAGAAAACTAGAAAGATATCTGGGGTTATTCTAACAGGCATCCATATCTTGGAAAGTTCTTTGTACCCAGGTTGAGTTACTTTTGGTGAGTATGTCAACCCAGTATCCTTCCTTGGACTTTTTTAACTACAGAGACATGGACATATTAGAGGAGGCTAAAAAGGGTGTAACTTTGGTTTTCCCAAGTATGTCTCTTTAGATTCTCAATTGCTTTTGTATTGAGCTATGGATTATATTAGAAGCAACATTTTGTTATTTGGGAAAATGACAAACGTTGATTCAGATTTGGGATATCTTGTATACCATTCACAAAAAATTGTTACTCCCAGGAAAAAAAATTGAGTTGAAGATTTTGATAAATATTGAATTCCCACTGTGTACCAGGCACTGCTATAGGTGCTTAGGATAGGTCATTGTAAGAAAACAGACAACAATCCCTGGCTTTGTAGTGCAAATATTCTTGTGGATCTCAAAAGTAACTTGGGTTGAGTCTCTCAAGCTCAACCTAAGTGAGCTTAGGTAAAAGTTGCATCACTAATATATTCACCTCCTTTCCAAACTGAAAGCCAGGACTAATGTTCAACAATCTCGTCAATAAATTCCTTTGAAGTTGTAGCATTTGACATAGGGATATATGTAACATATTTGTACGTCTGCAAAAATTTCTATGGGTCTTGCATATCTTTTAAGAGATAAAAATATAAAGTGGGAAATAAACCTCCTCCAAGGGCATAGATAATGAGAGTTTGTACACAAAATATGCACAAATGACACTTTAACAAGTCATTGCATCTTCTTCCAGGATGGGTAAAAAGATAAAGAAGGAAGTAGAACCCCCTCCTAAGGATGTGGTAAGTTTCTGATTTGAATACTAGTAGCACTTTAACAACCAGTTTTATGAATAAACTGTTCACACTGTTTGGCATGTAGCAGTATATACATGAATACATAGTGGCAGAAGTCCAAAGTCTGACTAATGATAAGATTAGTCAGAGGAATCTAACATTATATAAACAAACATTTACAACATTGTCATTATATAATTAGCACAATTAGAGAGTCATTATTAGCTTTTCCAGTGTGTGGATGGCATGTTTATAGCCTAGTTAATGAATAAATAGTTTGTTAAATACTTCACATTTGCCAATCTCTCATTAATGTTAATTACCCAAGTGAATTTTCAAAAATAACTAGAAGTTATGCTATAAGCTATTACATATGTCTATGAGGTTGTCTGGTAATGACCGTTTGGACAGGAGAAGTCCTGTATTTTCCAGTTCTGTCAAGAGACTAGCCTGGGGACTTGGCACCTGTAGCTCAAGCAGCTAAGGCGCCAGCTACATACACCAGAGCTAGTGGGTTCAAATCCAGCCTGGGCCTGCCAAACAACAATGACAACTACAATCAAAACATAACTGGGAGTTGTGGCCTGTAGTCCCAGCTACTTGGGAGGCTGAGGCAAGAGAATCGCTTAAGCCCAGGAGTTGGAGGTTGCTGTGAGCTGTGATGCTACAGCACTCTACCCGGGGCAATAACTTGAGGCTCTGTCCAAAAAAAAAAAAAAGAAAAAGAGACAGAGAGAGACTAGCTTGGGAATCATCATATTTTTCCATTTCAATGCTAAGTAATGCATCCCCCACTACAGAAATTTCTTCCCTCTCTTTAAAAGCATGGTTTTATCTCCTCTCTTTAAAGTTTGTCAATTATTGAAAAATGATACTAAAAATGAAAAATGACCTTTGACAATTTTCAGTTTAGAATATTATTTTGAAATAGACATTTGGTGTTACTTTTTTGAGGCAAAATAAGAATAGAGAAGAAGTAAACATAGTCCACAGACTCACAGGATTTCAAGTTTGGAGGAAACCAAGTTTCCTGCAGAAATCTCCCCCACGGCCTTGGAGCATTGTGTTTAATGTGGGGCTTTGAGCCAGCTTCACCAACTATGTTATTTTGGCCAAGTTGTTCTATTTGGTCAAGTCATTTCAGTTTTTCTTTACCTCTTAAGTGGTAATTGTAATATCTGATTCATTTTGGTTGTTGTATGAATTAAAATAAATTACATGAAGTTATTAGTGCATGGCACATAATTAGCACTCTGTAAATAAGATCTATTATCATGGGAATGCTCTGGACTCTGTGTCAGATCCACTCACACACACACACCCCACACACCCCTAGGTATGCAACCACGGAGGTATGATACTTCCATACAGTTGGAAACAAAAGCTACTGAAGAGCCTGTCTGCCCAGGTCCAGGAAGGCTTTTCAGAGATTGCCATTGTGTCCTCATGATGCTTCATCGTTCTGGCTGCTTTCCTTTGGACGTATTCCTAAAATGTTACAGATTCTCTTATTAATATTTTTTCCATTGCATCGTAGTTTCACATTACCCCACTTTTTGCTGCCAAATAGCATTATTTGCATCTTATTAGCAGGAAGTGGACTCATGAACACAGGACTTGGCAAACACGTTCTGATTAAATTTAGAATTAAGGGACTAATAAACACTAGATATATTTATCTAATTTACTCTCTATAACCTTCCAATATCTTGCTGGTATTGCCCTCTATACTTCTAATCCTTGGGGACACAATGGAGAACTTGGGATGAGCAATCTTAGCATGAAAAAAATAACAGCACTGGCTTCCTGAGTTCATAGCAGCCTTGGAGGCAGCCAAAGCCCTGTGTAACCTTTAACCCCTTTAACCATGGTCCCTGACTATTGATGTTGCCTTTCACAAGAGCCTTTCATCTTTTCCTTATTCTTATTCTGACTTTATATTAGTAAAGCTGATGGAGTTATGTTAAAATAGCAAACCTCTTTTCCACCTTAAAAATTTTGTTATCTCAAAGCAGTATGCCACAATTTACAGTATCTTACAGTATCTTGGCACTTGTTCCAGGATATACCTCTTTAAAGTCTATGAAAAATTTGTTCTCTAAATTGTAAATTAAAACCAGATTTAAAGAAAGATATATAACTACTTAAGAAAATAAACTTTTCTCTGTCACTAATGGTAATTTGCAGCTTATGTTTCCTAGAAGTACTGTTTCCAAAGATTTTAATTTTTTTCTTTTCTTTTTTTTTTTGAGACAGGGTCTTGCTCTGTTGCCCCAGCTAGAGTGCAGTGGCATCGTCATAGCTCACAGCAACCTCAAACTCCTGGGCTCAGGTGATCCTACTGCCTTAGCCTCCTGAGTTGCTGGGATTACAGGCACAGGCCAACACACTTAGCTAATTTTTGTATTTATTGTAGAGATGGCCTCTTGCTCTCACTAAAGCTGGTCTTGAACTCCTGGCTTCAACTAATCTTCCTGCCTTGGCCTCCCAAAGTTCTAAGACTATAGGCATGAGCCATCATGCCTGCTCACATTTTAATTTTTATCAGTCTTTGGTCTACTGGTTAAAAAAGATAATTGAGACAGCAAGAGAAGTGTTTGGAAATAGGATTAAAACAAAAAGCTCCCTTTGCTTTCTGAATATTCTCCCTTGTTCTAACATACGTTTACATATGCATATATGGTTTATTGATCTATAGTTCCTTCTCATAAAAGACATGCTCTTTAAGAAGATGCTCAGTTGTAGAAAAGATAGGACTTGAATGACCAGTACAACTGTATCCTTCCTTTCCCAATCATTGCTGTGTCTTATCAAAAGGTCGTTATGTTTTGTTACAAGGCAGGCAGGCTTACTGTAGAATGATTGCATAAAAGGATTCCCGACAGAAATGACTCTTTTAGGCAATATTTTGTATAGGACAAGGTATCCAGTGACTAAGAGTGTTGGCTCTGGAGCTGTACTGCCCAGGTTGGAATCCACACTGGATTATCCACTTATCCATTATCCACTTATGCCTCTCTGACCTTGGGCAAATTTCCTAACCTCTGTGTATCACAGTGAAGACTTAATTCACAGGACTACCCATTCACAGCAGTGAGTAAGATACATAGAATAGTGCCTGGCACTAGGTAAGAACTTAGTAAATGTGAACATTAATGATGTGGTTGAGGGTACTGTTCATCCTTCCATGGAACCCGCAAGTCTGTATGAACTGTCGAGGGATACAGGGACTTCAGCTTCAGAAGACCTGCGGGCACTGAAGCTCCCAGAGATCTGGTGTGTGGCCATCATGATTTGTGGTCAGGTGTTTGAGTTTGCAAACATGGAAATGGTATCCTCTTAGTATTTCATAGGTGATTGAGCACCAGTGGATAAATCCACAGTATCTAAATCCATAAGAGATAGTGAGCTGGCCCTGGAATCTTAGTGATTAAGTATGAAGTTAACTGAACAGGTTTGTTAATGGATCATTACTTTCTATCCGTACTGAAGAGCACATGGGAAGTGGAGTATGGCGGGTAGTGAGCCAGGACAAGGCCGATAATAGAAACCTGGGTGACCAGTCTGATTACTTGAAGAGTGTGAATGTACCCTGAGGCTTGATTTTCCTCAATCTCAGAACTCAACCTTTAATTCTTTGTCATAGACCCATAACACTGTTATGGCCTTTTTTTTTTTTTTTAAATGATGAATCACCCTCAATAAATCCCCAACAATAAAAAAAGAAAAATAAAATGTAAAATCCTTTCTGGAAAGAAAAAATAAATAAAGGAAGAATCATAGGGACATCCCCCCCCCCCCGACATTCTCTTTTATCACAGATAAACAAAGTACCATGAATTAACTTAAAAATATAAATTTATGAATAATATACCTATATAAAATTGCGTGGATAATGGTCAGCTTGCTCATCTTACTCTGAAAGTTTGCTACTTGATTCAGGTTATTACATAAACTAAAGACCATTTTAGCTATTTTCATTTTAACCTTTAGACCTTTTAGCAGATTTTTAATAAAATGTCTGGGTATTCTCTGCTAAAAGTTTATATCACACGGATGTTCTCCACTTCTTCCTATGATCGATCTCTCTCTCTTTCTCATGATCTGAGATTACTGTTGTGGTAAACATATTCACTTAGAAATTTAAAAAAAGGCCAGTGCTGTGGCTCATGCCCATAATCCTAGCAATCTGGGAGGCCAAGAAGGGTAGGTTGCTTGAGCTCTGTAAAAACAAACAAACAAACAAACAAAAAACACCAAACCTTTTATTTGTACTTATTAGCACCATAAAAATCACTCATCTATCATGATCTGTTTACACTGAGTTCAACTTCATCATTTTGTATTTTTTTAGACCTGTGTTGTCTAAGATAGTAGCCGTTAGCCACATGTGGTTATTGAAATTTAGATTTATAATAATTAAAATTAATAATTAAAAAAGTAAGAAACTCAGTTTCTTAGTCATATCACTTACATTTCAAGAGCTCAGGAGCCCCTGGTGGCCTGTGACTACTGTACTGGACAGCGTAGAGCTAGAACATTTAAAATTTCTTTTTTTGGCCAGGGCTGGGTTTGAACCTGCCACCTCTGGTATATGGAGCTGGCGCCCTACTCCTTTGAGCCACAGGAGTCTCCCTAGAACATTTTTATCATTGAAATTCTATTGGACAGCACAATTCTTGACACTTTTATTTCCCTCCCAGAGATATAGAAATATCTCTGTAAGTCAATGGTCTCTCTAATTGGCTGAGCCTGAAATTCAAAGCATAGCCAAGATGCTTCCCCTTTCTTTCATTCTTTTGGGAAATAATTTTGTTTTATCATTCATTTTGGGCAGAGTGTGAAATTATAATTTCTCAACGAGCTTGTTGGTGACTGTGACTTCCTTGCGAGAAAGCAGATGGGATATGTAATTACAGTGCAGTATTATTTATTCAGTCATGAGGCATTCTGTTATAGCTATCATTGTATTCTCAGCGCCTTTTTTAATAAAAAATTACTATGATGCTGTGGGCTCTGTAGGAGAAACAAATGTTATGCCAAGTGTCTCTGTTCTCTGCCAAACGTTGGTATTTCTCCTCCGCTGGCAGCTGTTTAGACTGTGACTCTCACAGTCGCAGGCATCCCCTTTAAGCCTCTTGTGCCTCATATCCCTTTTTCTCCTTGATGAACAGGAGATATGGCAAAATATGGAGGTGTTTTCTAAATCATCGAAGAAAGATTAAGTAATATTTAAATGGTATTTTCATGTGCCCTACTCTTTTGAGACTTGTAGTCACTCTGTGGATATCACAACATACTTACACTTAACCCTGGTCTATTTATTCACACACTTGCACTATAATAAAATCAGCTTTATCAATACTGACACATTAGAGGTCTCTGATATTCTAAAATGGGAGGGAAATCGTTTCTGAATGTGGTTGGTAGAGAAGGTAACTGGCTGGAATGTTAGGGAAGCTTCTGTAAGCGGTAAAGATGATCTTTAAGGTTGGGGTTCTCCCTGGTTCCCTGGGGGCCAACCAGGGAGCCTTATGAAAATAGGATGGGAACTGTGGACCCTCTTCCTGTAAAAATGCACTCCAAATCTTTTATACAATTTCAAGGGGAGAATGCACCCCCGGAGCCTACTGATGTCTTCATCATCAACCTTAGGTTTAGAACCTTCTTTCTAGACATGAGTAGACAGTACACAGTTAAGGCCCACTGAGGCTGTAAGAATAAAAACAGTTTTCAGAGGCACTTTATTCCTTTCCAGGCATTTGTTGAGTACACCCAAATCCCAGGTATTGTTCTTAGGTAATAGAGATGGAGAATTAACATGGTCCTTTGCCTGGAGAAATCCATTCATCTATCGGACAAATATTGAATGCATACCATACACAAGTGGGCATTGGGATGGGGAGAAAACAAACATCAGGCACCAAGGCAGTCTGTAAAAGAAACAGCCAACTAACAAATAAGGATCTAAATCAAGCAGTGATAAGATCAGTGAAGAAAAATAAAGTGGGATGTGGTATGGAGAGTGACCCAGCTACTAAAGTCGACTCTAGGTCAGGGCAGGCCTTCCAGTGGGGTCACATTTGCAAACACTTCAGTGAAATGAAGCGTGTCCAGTGCAAGTGTGAACACGCCAGCTGGAGAACAGTAACTAAATCCTCAGCAAGCGGGCCAGGCACTGTGGCTCACGCCTGTAATCCGAGCTCTCTGGGAGGCCGAGGTGGGTGGATTGCCTGAACTCACAGGTTCGAGACCAGCCTGAGCTAGAACAAGACCCCTGTCTCTAAAAGTAGCTAGGTGTTGTGGCAGATGCCTGTAATCCCAGCTACATGGGAGGCTGAGGCAAGAGAATCGCTTAAGCTGAAGAGTTTGAGGTTGCTGTGAGCTATGACGCCACAGCACCCTACCAAGGGCAACAGCTTGAGACTCTGTCTCAAAAAAAAAAAAGGAATTAGATTATGGGCTTGGTGCCTTTAGGTCAGTGGTTAGAGCTCTGGCCTCATACACCGGGGCTGGCAGGTTCAAACCCAGTCCAGGCCTGTTAAATAACAATGACAATGATGACAACAACAAAAATAGCTGGGCACTGTGGTGGACACCTGTAGTCTCAGCTACTTGGGAGGTTGAGGCAAGAGAATCACTTAAGCCCAAGAGTTTGAGGTTTCTGTGAGCTGTGATGATGTAGCACTCTACCTAGGGTGCCATAGTGAGACTCTGTCTCAAGAAAAAAACAAAAAAAAAAGAATTGGATTATGATTCACCACATCATTATCAATATTTGTCAAGTTTAACAGTAAAGTTTATTGATCAGTAAACAGTAAAGTTTACTATGTTTATTGATCCACTGTTACTGTTTTTAAGTGTTGGTCCTCCCCAGTTTGGGCTAGAGATTTTGCATGAGTAATTTGTTTAGGAGTGAATGGTTGATATACTTTCTGATTTTGCGAATGCCTGAACATATGAATGATAACCCAGCCAGATATAAACTTCTAGGGTCATGATTCTTTTCCTTGAAGCTTTCTTAATTGTCCTCTGTAAAAAGTGAGAAAAGGTGTAGGTCATTTGCTGAAGTTTTATCTTTCCACACTATTCAGTATTACTCCTGCTTTGTACTGTAATTTTCTTTTTGGTCAAGCTAATATTTTATCCATCACAATTAAGCACTTTAAACTGTCCCAGTGTTATTTTCCCCATTTGAATATTCTTCCTCCCTATCTTAATCTATCCCATTTTACCTATTCTTCATATCATATCTGGAATTTTACCACCTCCACGGACCTTTCTGAATTTACCTCAGTTCAAATTAATTTGCCCTTCCTTATCACAATATTTATTGTCTCTGCCATATGTTTTACACTTCATAGAAATCTTAGAATTTTCTATCTGGAAGAGATATAAAATAATCCAGTTCCCTAATTTTTCAGATTAAAAAAGCCATGGTCGGGGAGACAATATGAGGTTTGGGGCATTGTGGGGCTACCTTTTAATACCAAATAAGGTGGTTCTCAAGCCCTGATCCCCAGGGTCTTTCAGAAGTCCTCTCTTAAGATTTCTGGGCTTGGCACCTGTGGCTCAAGTGGCTAAGGCGCCAGCCACATACACCTAAGGTGGCGGGTTCAAATCTCCGGCCCGGGCCTGACAGACAATGATGATGGCTGCAACCAAAAAATGGCCGGCGTTGTGGCGGGCGCCTGTGGTCTCAGCTGCTTAGGAGGCTGAGGCAGGAGACTTGCTTGAGCCCAGGAGTTGGAGGTTGCTGTGAGCTGTGATGCCATGGCACTCTACCCAGGGGGATAGCTTGAGCTCCGTCTCACAAAAAAAAAAAAAAAAAAAAAAGATTTCTGTGGATTTCCAGGACCTCACTCTCTCCTGATCAGTATTGCAGCCAGCGTCCCAGCCCTTGCTCTTGGCTCTGCTAGAGGAACCTTTTCTTACTGGGTCATGCCACTGGAAGCTCACCAGTGCCAGCAGCCTCATATATAAGGCAGACTTTTTTTTTTTTTTTTGAGACAGAGCCTCAAGCTGTCTCCCTGGGTAGAGTGCTATGGCTTTACTGCTCACAGCAACCTCCAACTCCTGGGCTCAAGCGAGTCTCCTGCCTCCGCCTCCCAAGTAGCTGGGACCACAGGTGCCCACCACAACGCCCGGCTGTTTTTTGGTTGCAGCCATTATTGTTGTTTGGCGGGTCCAGGCTGGATTCGAACCTGCCACCTTGGGTATACGTGGCTGGCGCCTTAGCCGCTTGAGCCACAGGCGCCGAGCCAATATAAAGCAGACTTTTACTGAAAACTTGTCTCTGCAGAAAGAGTGTAAGAGGCTTGAGAACAAACAAGACTTTTGTAACTTCTATAGCTTCTAGAATAGAGACAGACAAATAGCAACTTTAATTTGGATGTTAGACAATGTTGTCCTGAAATCCAGCAGCCGTTTTTCCTCCAGGGGAGTTTTTATTCTGGTTAAGTCCTTTCCGGTCATTCTTTACTGCCGTCTTCTCTTTTCCCTTCACTCTTTTGACGTCATCCAATTATATTTCCTTATGCGGACTAATCTCTCTCTCCATTCTCTACCTAAAACTAACCATCACATTTTAAAAAATGTCCTGTAACATAGTAAGATGTCCATATAGGAATAGCCAACAAAAAGGACAAGCAAAAGCTTTGAAATACAATTTTTTTCCTCTGTCATAAACAGAACTCACTCCTTTACCAGACTCTGGACATAGAAGAAAAATCATATTATTTATTTTCTCCTTGCCCACAGAAAGCCTTTAGTGGTTATTTGTCATTGTTCATTTGAGTTACCCATGAATTCCTAGGTCTCACGGTAGAGGTCTTCTCAGAGCCCTATACTTTTTATTTATATTATATTACTATTTTCCCTGTTCTGATTTTAATCCAGTTTAACATCTTATATGCTCTTTTCTATTCCTTTTTCATTATTTCACATGTGCAATCCCTGCTTTTCTAGAATCTAGTGGTTGGAAAGCAGATATTGATTATTGAGATGGTTAAGGCATCAAATATATGCAAGTGCTCAAGGATTCTTATGTACTGACTAAGAATTAGACTAATAAATGTTATTTACTGAATGTCTGTTATGTGCTAGACAAGGTGCAAAGTGCTGTACATAACCTGATCTTGAATCCTCTCCTTGATCCCCATTACACAGAAACCGACACTGACATTCAGGATGAGAAATTTGTTCAATTCCCTGCAGTTGAACTGAGAAACTAGATCTGTTAGGCTCCAAAACGTTCTGCTCTTCCCACCATATCCCAGGAATTCCAAGCCACCAGTGCTGACAGTTGCTTCTCTAACAATGATGTTTTTTAAAATAAAAATAATGTCCTTACAAGGAAATGACCACATTCTTTCTGCAAGACTGTGTTCTCTTTAAGTTTGAAGATGCCGTTCTTTTTTGATGTGCTTTTTAAAGCACGTACGTGAAGGTAATATTTTTCTTTCTGCCTTTCAGTTTGATCCATTAACAATCGAAAGCAAAAAAGCAGCGACCGTGGTGTTAATGCTTCAGTCTTCAGAAGAAGAAATTTTGGTTAAAGCATGTGAAGCCATTTATAAATTTGCATTAAAAGGTTTGGGTTTTTCCAGTTTTTTTTTCTGCTTCTTCAGTTTCTTAAAATATTTACTACATAGTGAGCACTCTTCTCACTTGTCTTTTACTTACTTCCTGTCAGATGAATTATTTAAGATGACCAGAATATCATGCTAGGCTTCCCCTGAAAGTAACATGTGGCCCTAATTGTCTAACTTCATCTGAAGAAGTAATTTAATCACTGGGTAGAAAAGTCACTTTGAAGATCTCATTGTAGCTTAAAAAGTTGTGAAGTGTCACAGAGCTCCCAGTGGTCAAAGCTGGAACAATCTGAGCAAGAAAAGAAAGTCGTATTGGATTGTAACCCGGGTAGAAAATATATATCCATGAGTCCATACCAATATGAATAAGTGGTTGAATACATAAAAAAGAGAAAAGGCAAATGTCCCATGAAGAAAAATTCCAAATAGTTTATGTAGATACTTTGCCCTCAAGGAGGTAAAATATAACTTCTCACTGTTTAGGTGTGGGGTGCACTTAGTGGCACCTTTCCAAAGAGTACAATATATTGGCCTGTTGTGGTGGCTCATGCCTGCAATCCCGGTACTCTGGGAGACCGAGGTGGGTGGATGGCTTGAGCTCATGAGTTCGAAAAAATCAGGCAAATCCCAACTCAGGGACATTCTACAAAATACCTGATCAATACTACTCAAAACTATCCTGGCTATCTAAAGTGAAAGTCAGAGAAACTGTCTCAGCCAACAGGAGCTAAGGGGACATTATGACTAGCTGATATAGGAAACCTGGACAGGCTCCTGAACGGAAGGAAGATGTTAGGTTAAAACTAAGGAAACCCAAGTAACTGTGGACTTAATAATATATCACTGGTTCACTATTTGTAAAAAATGTACCATACTAATGTGGAATATTAATAATAGGGAAAATTGGATCTGGGCTACCTGGGAATCTCTGCACTATCTTTGTGATTTTTCTGTAAAACTAATATGGTTCAAAATTATGTTAATTAGGAATTTATTAACATTAAAAATCAGTTTCTATGGAAAGGTTTTTCATAGAGAATTCCCACCATAAGTGGGTATTAAGAGTTCCCATATACCCCATCCCAGTTTGCCTTATTAGTATAATCTTTTATATTATATCACTACAGGCTCTATAGAGAAACTGAACAGTGGGTCATTTATAGATATATGTGAGGAGATTTATTATAGGTATTGGCTCACGTGATTTCAGAGGCTGTAAAGTCCCAGGGTATGCCATCAGCAAGCTGGAAAACAGGAAAGCCAGGGGTGTAATTTGGTCTGAGTCTAAAGGCCTGGGAACCCAAGCTGCTGGTGCAAGTCCTGGAGTCCTGAGGCCCCAAACAGAAAGAAGATAGATGTACCCACCCAAGAAGAGAGAATTTCTTTCTTTCATCTTTTGTTCTATTCAAGCCTTCAGCAAATTGGGGAGGGCACATCTTCTACTGATTAAAATGCTAATCTCTTCTAGAAACACCCTCCAAGGCACATTCAGAAATAATCTTCTAACCAGCTGTCTGGGCATCCCTTAACTCAGTCAAGTTGACACATAAATTAACCATATCATATATATATTGCATAGAAAATCCTACTGAATCTACACAAATCTAGAACTCATTAATTATGCAAGTGTTCATTAAGTTCCTATTACATAATCAGCACTGGCACCAAGGATATAGGGCAGGAGAGAACAGGGCAGGCAGAGTGTCCATCCTCATGGGATAGGGAAGCAAAACAGAGGTCAGTAAGTAGCATGATGAACATAAAGCAGGGTGAAGAGAGGTCAGAGAGACTTAGATGTGGGGGCAACATTTGACAGGGTGATCAGGAGAGACCCCTCTGAGCAGGTGCAGAGGGAGGTCGGAACTGGAGAAGAGATGAGACCAGCTTTGTAAGCACAAGGAGAAGAGTGAGCAGGAGATGTCCAGGCTACTGTGCCCTCCCTTTCTTCTGAGGGAAATATGAGTAGAAGCCAAGAGGAACATGAAAGGCAAACAGCAAGTAAATTTGAATTACATAGTGAAGAGTTTTGATAATGTCAGTGATATCCACACATGCTTTTATTTTACCTGTGGTGTCAGGTGAGGAAAATAAAGCAACCCTCCTTGAACTTGGAGCTGTGGAACCTTTAACTAAATTGCTTACCCATGAAGACAAAACCGTAAGAAGAAATGCTACTATGATATTTGGAATCCTGGCTTCTAATAGTAAGTATCGTTGTCTTAAAATAATCAAGTAATCTCGTGTAATGTATTATCTTTCTTTCAAATTTAATGTTAAGGGATTTGTTTTAATTGTATTTAAACTGACTTTAACAGAAAAGTTAAATCAGTGTAATGCAATACATGGATGCTTTTGTATTTTAAGGACAATTTTTAAAATATAAAAATATATACAAATATATCCATGAAGAAACTCCTCTCAAAGTTGGTGATGTAGTATGTTCCAGACTTAACAGTTGGGAGATCAGTCATTTTCTCTCAAAAGTAAAATAGCTTTTTCCTTGAGTTAATATGGTATTTACCTGCTTCTACTTCATATGAGCTTGGACAATTAAGTTTGCAAACTCAGCCTAGAAAAAGTGCTACATACAACTCATCCTAGACAAAGTGCCACATACCTCCTTGCTTAATATCACTGTAGTCACCTTGGAAGTACTTCCCCTGGAAAGGTACGCACTGATGCCAGTGCCTAGTCCAAGTTCTAGGATGAGTTTGCAAACTTAATTGTCTAACCTTGTATATGTATCATAGGGAATGAAGCCCAGAGTAAAGAGTTTTGATACATTGACTTTTTTTGAAATTGCAAACCACATTTTGCCAAAAATAAGTTTAGATACATATTTACTTTTTATTTTATTTTTTATTTTTTGAGACAGAGTCTCACTTTGTCGCCCTTGGTAGAGCAGTACACCTCTCAGCAACCTCAAACTCTTGGGCTCAAGGGATTCTCTTGTCTCATCCTCCCCAGTAGCTGGAACTACAGGTGCTCACCACAATGCCTGGCTATTTTTTAGAGACAGGGTCTCGCTTTTGTTCAGGCTGGTCTCAAACTCATGAGCTCAGGTAATCCACTTGCCTTGGCCTCCCAAAGTGTTAGGATTACAGGTGTGAGCCACCGTACCTGGTCCTTATATTCACTTTTTAAATGAGACCTATTACTTGTCTGGAATATTTTCATATATTTAATATGCTGTAATAGTTTTTGTTAAAATATGCTATTACATCTATTAGAATTTTACTTTGACTGGAAACCATGCCAATAAAGTCAGTCTCTGACTTAGGAACAGTGTATGTTTTCCTTGTTATTTCTGTATGTCATAATGGTAGATTTTGAGCCAACTGATAAAAGCTTTTCAACTTATAATAAATTTTAAATGACACTGTTAGTGGTGACTGATTTCTAGCATGAACCTCAGGCTTCCAGGGTAAACATATAATTATTATGGTGCATGATAATTCCACTCTCCCCATCTTACTATAGTGTAAATAAAATGTAAGCATAGATTCCTTCCCCTTCCCCTACTTCTACCACTTTTCCTAGACCATGGGTAATGACAGTGAGGTCTCTTTATTCCGTGGTGTCCAGCAGGGACTGTGGCATTAATGTCTTCAGAGACAGTTATGAATGCAGGAGGGTAGAGGAGAGGAAAGGGAGGTGTGTGGGTCTGTGACATTACAACCTCAGCTCCAGAGCCTGTGCCTGACAGTGCCTGCAATGCTGAGGGCAGAGGGGGCTCTGTAGGGGTAGTTAGGGGAAGGCAGGAGCTCTGATGGTGGCTGTGTTGTAAGGCAGGAGCTCTGGGAATGTTTTATCTGGAGATAGCAGCAGGAGGAAGACAGTCATGGTGGGTGGATGTCCTACTAACTCAGATTATGATAATAATCCTAGTTAACACTTACATAGCACTCACACCATGCCAGGCACTGTTCTAACTGCTATTTATATGTTTAATAATTTAATCCTAAGGAACAGCTCTGTGAGCCAGATAGTATTATGATTTCCTTTACATTCAGGCAACTGAGGCATAGAGAAGTTGGATAAGGTGGTAATCATATAAATCATAAATTTATATCAAGGGCTGTCTATATAATAATTCCATATTAGAGCCATATTGACTGTATAACTATAAAACAAAAACAGGGAAAATTTTCGACCAAAAAAGGGGAGGATTTTAAAATTTCTTATGTTATATAATGAATTTGAGAAACAAAGGTACTCTGTAATACCTCTTGTGGAACTCATTTTAAAAACAGGAAAGACACCTCAAAGGGTTCGGTGACTTGCCCCAAGTCATGCAGGTGGCTAGTAGCGGAACTGAGGTCAGAGCCTGGCACCTTGGCATACCCGTCTAACCTCAATTAGACTAATATCAATAGGACAAAAGTGTGCTTTTGAAAAAGTCAATAAACTTATTTTTAAGCATTTTTATCATTTGTAATATTCAAAAGGAATGTAAACAATCATGTATTAGTTCAAACAACCTGGATTGATTCTTATCTGCATTCCCTACCAGTTTTATTAAAATCAAAATTAAAGAAAAATGCTCCCAGCAAAACCAACCAACAAACAAAAATATTTATATAATAAAGAAGGGTAGGGCACAGTAACTCAACTTTTGTAACTGTGTTCTAGGTGTGTTTTGCACATTTATGGTTATTGTTCCCAGTGTTTTGGAAGGTACTAGGTATAGCTCAAGATCGAGGAGTACAGGTTAGGGTTTGTGTGGGGTCAGACTGACCTTGACCGAAACCTGTGCCCCACCACTTAATGTGTGATTTTGAGCTTCAATTTTCTTACCCATAAAATTAGATATTAATAATATTACCTATCTCATGAGGGAGTGTTCAATAGCTGTTGCCATTATAATTATTAATAAACATTAATATTCTGTTTCTGCCTTTGTAGATGAGGTTAAAAAATTGTTAAGGGAGTTAGATGTCATGAGTGCTGTCATCGCCCAGCTGGCTCCTGAAGGTAACTCTGCGTCCCACATCTGTTTCAAAAAAAAAAGGAACTGGTTTATTTTTTACATTTGATTAAATTACACATTGAAAATAGTTCGTGAACTATGAATTATAAATTGTCACTCAAATCTCTCAAACACAGCTCAATTTTGAGTTTATAAAAAATAGGTAAGCTCTAAGCAAGGTATGATTTGTAGAGCTATGGCTTTTCAAACATTTGAAGTAGCGGTTGAATAAGCATCTATCATGCAGTGTTATTTATATTTGCTATACAGAAGAAATAGTTATCCACGAGTTTGCTAGTCTTTGCCTGGCAAACATGTCTGCAGAGTACACCAGCAAAATGCAAATATTTGAACAAGGCGGACTAGAGCCTCTCATCAGGCTGCTGGGCAGCCCCGACCCGGATGTAAAGAAGAATTCTATTGAATGTATTTACAACTTGGTACAGGTAAGATTAATTTCTAGAAAGTGTTTTGACAAAATCTGACTACAGAATTTATTTTCCTGTTAAAAAGAAAAAGAAGAGCTTTAAAAAACTCACCTGTTTTGTATCATCAGATCTTCTTGGCTTGTATAAATACCTCTCAATTTTCACATTTTTTTTTTTTTTGAGACAGAGCCTCAAGCTGTCCCCCTGGGCAGAGTGCCGTGGCATTACAGCTCACAGCAACCTCCAGCTCCTGGGCTCAAGCGAGTCTCCTGCCTCCGCCTCCCAAGTAGCTGGGACCACAGGCGCCCGCCACAACGCCCGGCTATTTTTTGGTTGCAGCCGTCATTGTTGTTTGGCGGGTCAGGCTGGGGATTCGAACCCACCACCTTAGGTGTACGTGGCTGGCGCCTTAGCCGGTTGAGCTATAGGCGTCGAGCCAATTTTCACATTTTTAAAAAAAAATTTTTTTTTTGAGACAGAGTCTTACTACTGCACCCTCAGGAGAGTGCCGTGGTATCACAGCTCACAGCAACCTCAAACTCTTGGGCTTAAGTGATTCTCTTGTCTCAGTCTCCCAAGCAACTGGGACTACAGGCACTGGTCACAATGCCTGGCTTTTTTTTTGTTAATAGTTGTCATTGTTGTTTGGCAGGCCTCAGGCTGGGCTCGAACCCACCAGCCCCTATGTATGTGGCCTGCACCCTAGCCACTGAGCTCTAGGCGTCAAGCCTCAATTTCCACATTTTAGAAAGTAATTGTCTCCCATGAAAAAGTATTTTAGAACTGTATTTCTACTTAAAAAAAAAACAGAATGGCAAGCAAATTAAGGTGGGATTAGACTAGACAAAATGTACTTCTTCTGAAACAGGAAATCTAACATTCAAATTGATCATGGGCAGCTACATATTATCAATCTACCTGGTGATCTGAGCACACTGGATGTAATATATGCCCTAGTCAGTGTACCAAGATTTTGGATTAGACTCATTATTTATTGGTTAAAAAAACCTAGTGATTTGAGTATACTCAACAGAATCCAGTGTTTGCAATAGGAAGCTGTTACCTCCCTGTGCTGTTTTCCTTTGTGAGAAACTGCCTGCTTTCCCCTCCCTCACAGGCTGTCCTCCCCCCTGCCACCCTCCAACACTGCACACCCTCCCACCCCCAGCTTCCCTGACACTCAGGGTGGCCTTCCCTGCTGCTTTTCCTGCTCAGGTTCCTCACCAATGACCACATGTGTTTGATAAGCTTTAGACTGAGCAGCTGAAAATACCAAAACACCATTTTAACTAGCTCTATATTTTTCTTAAATGAAAATAATTACCATCCACAATTTTTAGTGACAGAAGCACTAAGCTAATTACAGTATATTAGTTTCCTAGGGCTAACAAAGTACTCTGTACTAACAAAGCACTACAAAGTACTTCAAACTGAGTGGCTTCAAATTATAGACAGTCACAGTGCTGGAGGCGAGAAGTCCAAGGTCAAGGTGTCTACCCAGGACACTGAGTGGAATCTTTCTTTCACCCGTGCCCAGACTCTGGTGGTGGCCGTCAATCCTTGGCCTTGGCTTATGGCTGTTTCCTGACAATCTCTTGCTCTATCACCTCTCTTCTTATGAGGGCACCAGTCTTCTAAGGACACCATGAAGTGTCCACCCTCACCTGGGGCCATCACCTCATCTTAATAAAGTATATCTGCCAAGACCTTGTTTCCAGCAACCTCACATTCTGAGGCACTGAGGTTAGGACTCCAACATATATTTTGTGGTGGTGGGAACACTGTTCGACGCATAAGAAAAAGCAACCTACAACATTTATGTTTAAAGGAAGCTAAATAGTGGAGATCAGTTGGAGGATGAGCAGGGTAAAGCTACGTTGTAAGGGGCCTTTTCCACATTCATTGCTATTTTATGTTTACCACAGTTTGATTAAAGATGTCACGACTTAAGAGTCAGAGTTGGGAGTTTTTTTTATGGCTTCTTGGCTTGTTTTCTCTACTGCTTACTGATCCTGACCACCCACCTCCTCACTCTCACTCATGCGTCATAGACACACATGCAAAACTACTTGTCTAAACTAATGATGCTTTGATATTGTAAATGTCTTAAATCAAGGTCACGTATCTGAACTAAACCTGTTATAGATTTGCATATACAGGGCCTGCCAACAGCACTGCATGCAGAGAGGTACATCATAAACAATCCATTTGAATGAAGATAATAAGGAATCAGTGCCATCATTTTATCCTATCAAATACTATTTGAAACAGTATATCAGAGTGTGAAAGAATTCCATTATGCATAGATTTCATTGTAATGCTATTTATAGGAATAGGGATTTGCTATACAATAAAGAAACAATGGATATTGCCAAAGTTGTAGGTTAGGTATGTTTCCTGTTTTGAAAACATCTGTAGTGTTAAAATGAATATTTTTGTGTTCTCAGCTGAAAGTCTGTTTAGTTTTGTTTGTGAGTTATTTTGGAGGGGAACCTGTAATAAAAGATGGGAAAATTATAATATTTTCTTTGTTAGAAAATAGAATTTCTCCATTTTTAAGATTGGATTTTGCTTAAAATCACTAATTTGATCGTTTGTGTTTCCTGGCAGGATTTTCAGTGTCGAATTACACTTCAAGAACTAAATGGAACCCCTCCTATATTGGAGCTCTTGAAGTCAGAATATCCAATTATTCAGTTGTTGGCTCTTAAAACCTTAGGTATTATTACAATTGATAAGGAGTTCCGGATCATGCTAAGGGACAATCAAGGACTGGACCACCTTCTTAAGATCCTGGAAACCAAGGTATTTTCAACATTCACTCAACTCTCTGAGGAAATGTATGTCTCATAAATATTGTTATAAAATGTGAATTGCAGAATGTTTTTTAAGGCTCGGCCCCTGTAGCTCAGCAGCTAGGATGCCAGCCACATACACCGGGGCTGGTGAGTTCAAACCTGGCCCAGGGCCTGCCAAATAACAATGACAACTACAACAACAACAACAAAAAATAGCTGGGTGTTGTGGTGGTTGCCTATAGTCTCAGCTACTTGGAAGGCTAAGGCAAGAGAATTGCTTAAGCCCAGGAGTTTGAGGTTGCTGTGAACTGTGATGGCACAGCACTCTACTGAGGGTGACATAGTGAGACTCTGTCTCAAAAAAAAAAAAAATTTTTTTTAAAGTGAGAGTTCATTATATTTAAGCATGGTGTACTAAGTATAATGAATTAATTTGCTTATTGCCACATAAAGTTAATTTACCTGATTTAATCAGATTAATTATAGAGGCATTGTAAACTAATTTTATCTTCTGATTAAGAAGATTTAAGATTTTTAAATTGTTGTCTTTGGTCTTCCTTCTGATTTCCTGAAACATTTAGAGGGAGTCAGTCTTTCAACCTTGGTCTATCATGATTTTTTCTGGGATAAAGCGAGAAGAGCATTGACCTTCTAGATACATCTTGATAAACAGTCAAGCTAAATTTCCATATAGCTGCTAGTATGTAATGAATTACATACTTTAGAATATGTATGCATTTGAGTATTTCCTGTTACAAAAATTAATCTAGCAATTTATTGAATACCATTTAATTGACTTGAAGCAATTCAGATAGCTTCTAAAGTACCCATCATCTTAAATGCATCAAGCAGATTGCAGGTCTATTGTTCTTACTTTAATATTTAGTAAATTAAATTTAGTAACAGAAATCTATTCTTGGTACCTCTTTGAAATTCAGGAGACAAGCACAGATTGAAGGAGTAACAAATTTGTATTAAGTTTCATACTTATTAAGTCTTTTTTTTATTTTTTTGAGACAGTCTCACTTTGTCGCCCTCAGTAGAATGTCATGGTGTCATAGATCACAGCAAACTCAAACTTTTGGGCTCAAGTGATCCTCTTGCCTCAGCCTGCCGAGTAGCTGGGACTGTAGGCACCTGCCACAATGTCTGGCATTTTTAGGGATGGGGTCTCGTTCTTGCTTAGGCTGGTCTCGAACCTGTGAGCTCAGGCAGTCCATCTGCCTTGGCCTCCCAAAGTACTAGGATTACAGGCATGAGACACCACGCCCGGCTGCTTTACTTATTCAATCTTTACCTTTTTTTTTTCCTATAAAACCAAACCTCAGAGCTTAATAGACTAGGGAAAGTTAAGTACAATATGAAAGAACAGTAATGGCACATGTGCATTCCCAGCCACGAAACCCACCTGCCTTTGACTTGTTGAACCCATATGTGATATCATATCATTACATTAGTGGTACACAATTCTTTTTTTTTTTTTTTTTTGAGACAGAGCCTCAAGCTATCCCCCTGGGTAGAGTGCCGTGGCATTACAGCTCACAGCAACCTCCAACTCCTGGGTTCAAGCAAGTCTCCTGCCTCCGCCTCCCAAGTAGCCGAGACTACAGGCGCCCGCCACAATGCCCAGCTATTTTTTGGTTGCAACCGTCATTGTTGTTTGGCGGGTCTGGGCTAGGGATTCGAACCCGCCACCTTAGGTGTACGTGGCTGGCACCTTAGCCAGTTGAGCTATAGGCGCCGAGCCAGTGGTACACAATTCTAATAGCACTATATAACAAATATTTAATCCTGTTTTTAAAAATGGAAGCTGAAATGAGAGATGGGATTTAATTTGCCCTATGTCACATAGGTAGGACGTGATTAACCACAGGGATGAACCTAGGTTTGTCTGGGGTATCACAGGACTCTCCCTTGCCTGATATTTCCCCTGTCTTTTAATCAGGAAAAGGGATGGAAACTTCTACTATGTGGGCAGGAATTATATGCATATGTCATATATGTGATTTTACTAAATTTGTTATTCTTGAGTGTGATAACATTTTCATTTGTGAAATGAAAAGAATGATCGTGATCATCTCATTATACATATGATCAGTAGAATAGAATTTTAATATCAGTCATATCGGCTCAGCGCCTGTGGCTCAAGTGGCTAAGGCGCCAGCCACATATACCTAAGGTGGCGGGTTCGACTCCAGCCCGGGCCCGCTAAACAACAATGATGGCTGCAACCAAAAAAAATAGCCAGGTGTTATGGCGGACGCCTGTAGTCCCAGCTACTTGGGAGGCTGAGGCAGGAGACTCGCTTGAGCCCAGGAGTTGGAGGTTGCTGTGAGTGTGATGCCACGACATTCTACCCACGGCGACAGCTTGAGGCTGTGTCTCAAAAAAAAAAATATCAGTCATATCAATCTCATCTTATAAATGAGAAAAAGTGAGGCCCAGAGAATAACTTGAGGTTGAATAACTTGCCTATGGTCAGAACTAGGAACTATATGAGAATTTTTTCTCAAAACACATTTACCTATATTCTAGTGGGAGAAATTCGAAGAATACAAAAAGATACTGAGGGTGAAATTAAAGTGCTTCTCTTATCCTCACCTAAGATTGAGTTGTTCTTTTTAATTTTGCACTTTTCAAGTCTAAAATCTCCATTTTTGAAGTCTCATTTCTCTGGTGAGCTTTCCTCTGTGAACGTATTTATAATAGCTGCTTTGAAGTCTTTAACTACTTAATCCAGCATCTGGCCCTGTTCAGAGTGGGTTTCTACTGACTGCCTTTTGTTTCTGAGTTAGAGTCACACTCCCCTATTTCTTTGCGTGTCTGGTACGTTTTGGTGAGGAATGAACACTGTAGACAATTCTAGTGATTCCAGATTCTGTTGTGTTCTTCCGAGGATTGTTGACAGTTTGTTCTAGGAGGCAGTGAGCTATAAATTCTTTTTCTCTCATAATGTGGCAACAGCCGGTATATCTGCTCACTTCTTCCAGTTTCTAGTTGCCGCTGGTTTCAGCCTGACTCCCTAGAGGTGTCCCCAGAGCCGCGTCTGTGGTTTGGTGGTCAGCCTCGGCTCCTCTGTCAGCCTCAGCCTCTGACCTCTGACACTTCAGGCTACTAAGGCTTCAGCTTTCTGCCAGCTAAGCTGTGCCTGGCTTGGGGAATGCACTCTATTTAAAAAGCAGTAAATTAAACAACTCACCTAGTACAGCTCTTTCTTTCAAGGACAAGATATATTACTTTCTAGTCCCTGCCTGTTTATCTTCACGAGGGTCCCTGGAGTCCCCTCCGTGCATATATAGTCTGGTGAACCGGAGATCTGAGCAATTCAGAGCACAGATAGCTTCCTAGAGAACCTTGCCCCAGCCCTACAAGGCACGTAGTATTTTAACCCTGTGCTGTACCTGAGTCTTCAAAAGGCCATTCTATCAAGCAGGCTGCTTCAGGAAGGCGGGGAAATGGTAAACCAGTGAATGCCGTGAACATGAGCCCATTGCTACAATTTTTTTGCAGTGAAGTGAGTTCTTTGGTGAGAAGCAATGCTGTGTGGTTCGAGTGGGTCATCCTTTCTGTACTTCTCCCACTTTCTGAATTTTTCCCTTAAATTCCTGGCTGTTTAAGTAAGGCTATGGCTGTCCACTGTTGCTGGGCTCAGGCAAGAAAGCCACAAACTCACAATACTTCCCAGTTGTAAATTTTAAGAAATATATTTTCATCAGCTTCTGTTTGCTTTTCAAAAAATACTTTGTGCAGATTTTAAAATTGTTTTTGGTAGAAGTTTATAGGAACAACTTCATTGGCTACTATTATTGGAAGTATTCTCTTAAGCATTATTTGGTTTCCCATAAAACATTTTGTTTATTTATTTATTTATTTATTTAGAGGCAGAGTCTCACCATGTTACTCTCAGTAGAGTGCTGTGGCATCACAGCTCACAGCAATCTCCAACTCCTGGGCTTAAGTGATTCTCCTGCCTCAGTCTCCCAAGTACTTGGGACTATAGGCGACCATCACAACACCTGGCTATTTTTTTTGTTTTGGTTTTGGTTGTAGTTGTCATTGTTGTTTGGCAGGCCCGGGCTGGGTTTGAACCCGCCAGCTTTGGTGTATGTGGCTGGTGCCCTAGCTGCTGAGCTACAGGCACTGAGTCATGGCTTCCATAAAACATTTTGGAGTAAGGGAAATGAGAAAAGGTGAGGCAAATGGTTAGGAAGAGTGATATTACTTTGATAAACAAAACTCTGAGGCCTCGGTCACAGCAAAATTAATTATATTATGTCTCTCTTGTAGTAAAATTTGGGAAGCATAAATTTCTTTTAGTATAGCTTTTTAAAGTTGTATTGACTTTTATTAGGAGTTGAATGACCTTCATGTAGAAGCACTTTCAGTGATAGCCAATTGCCTTGAAGATTTGGATACTATGGTGATGATCCAGCAGACAGGGAATCTTAAAAAGCTCCTGTCATTTGCAGAAAACTCTACAATTCCTGATGTGCAGAAGAATGCAGCCAAAGCAATCACTAAAGCAGCTTATGATGGTACATCTCATTTTATATAAACTAAGTACACGTATTTCCTCTTGTATTCTTAATTTTGACCAGTATAACAAATGCTGAAGTATTTGCTTTAAATAACTATTTAAGAATTGTTCTGTACTTCTGAAGGCCAAACTCATCTCACTTCTCATGAGTTAATGTGGAAATTGCTTTGTCAGGGATATAATAAATTCCATATGATTTAATTATAATCTTATTTTAAAAAAACATATTCTTAAATTAAGTTTTAAGCCTTTCTTTTTCTTGAACTTGTGGGATTATATAGAATGTATGCATTGTTTCTGAGCCTGAAGGTATTGTTTGAAGAAATTCACATTCAGAATGATACCTATAAAGTCATTTTCAAGTTTCAGCCAGAGCCTAGTAGGGCTATGTTTTATAGCTCTGAAAAGTAATACACTCATACTATATACATAATGCAATTTCCACTTCGGTGACAAGCTATGTTGACATAAATCTGTAAACTATGAGAGATTAATTACATCAGGAACACTGAAGATGAAATTATAGTTTTAATTTATGTATATTTGGAGTCTTTTATTTAATAAAAGATGTGATTTTATTTTTCCCCTTCCACATCACTACTCTTACAAATGATGACAGTGTTAACTATTTTAGGTGATTGATATTCTCGGTGTGTGTACTCACATCTGTATGTATGCCTATGAGGATGGGATATACTTCCTTCCCAGCTCCTCCTGGATTTCCCCAAGGCAAAGCTTTAAATCGTTCAGCAGAACTTTACTATCCTGCATGTAGTAGGCACAGGGGGGCCTCCGGAGTCACAGTATAAATGTCCAATCGAAAGACAGGTTGTGAAATTAAGGTTTTTAATATTGGCAAAAGTTCGTTTATTCAGTATTCTGTCCAATGGAATTTAGACATTCCTAGAGCTGGCCAGTTGTGTTTTCTTTCTATTCCAGCCCTTCTTTAGCTAATGGAGACTCAAGGAGAGGTGTAACAGGAAGATACGGGCAACATCAAGCCCACAGTTTTGGCGTATCTCAGCTTCTCTTTGGAGAATCTTTATGTGTGTCAGCATGGTCGGGTCCTTCTGAGTCTGTTTCAGCCCTTCTTGGGCTCCTGTGATGTCTCCTCTCATTGCCATGGTGTTGGCAGGTGCACCAGCCAAAGTTCCTCCTGGTGGTTGGGTCCTTGTGCTAGTTCCACACCTGACACTGTCATGACCCAGTTATGTGAGCCTAAACCAGTTATGAAGTACAGCCTGTCCAGACCCGTTTGTTTATTCAGTTGTTAATGGCTTGTTGGGCTCCAACCCAGAACAGTCAAGTAAACAGACCAGCACACTGCAGTGTTAAAAGAATTGAATGAAAGAAACAGAAGATTCCCCCAGGAAGGCTGCCCCATACAAGCTTGGGTCAGAGAAGTCTTTCTATGTGCTGGGACTTGGAGTGAAGCATACAAAGTGGCTGGGCAAAGAGGGTCCAGGTAGGATAGAGGGGGACCAGAAGTTCTCTAAGAAGGAACAGTGTGTAAAGGTCAGGGGAGAGAGAGAACCTGGTCAGTTCCACAACTGAAAGTTTTCAGAATGGCAGGTGTGTAGGATGTGGAAACCTGAGAGTTCAGGCTGTTGAGGCAGTGAGGGGCCGAATGCTGCAGGGGGCTATAGGCCAAGTGAAGGACTTTGGACTTTACTGGGAACAAAGAGCCATTGGAATGGCTTAGAGAAGGGAGGAACATTACAGATTTTGACTTTTTAAAGAAAGCACTTTTGCAACAAAGTGGAGAAGAGGTTTGAAGCTTGTAGGACCAGACAGAGACGACTAGGAAGGGGTTGCCGTGCTAATCTGGGTGAGACACGAAGGTGCCTGAAGCAGAGATGTGTGGTCATGGTGGGCTCCAGGCCTTTTGCAAGGAGAACCTCCAGCACAGCGCTGGCCACACTGAGGGGTCTCTGAGGATTTGTTGAACCTGCGTGGGTTAAGGGTGGAAGTGGATAATGTCGAGGGTGAAGCTAAGTTTCTGGTTTGGACAACTGGGAGTAAAATGGAGCGACTCACAGAAATGGAAATTGAAGAAGCAGGTTGTGGTTGGAGAAAAGGAAATGAGTTCCATAAAAACAAAATCATGGTAAAATATACATAATGTAAAATTTATGGCCATTATAACGATTTGTAAGTGTGCAGTGGCATTAAATACATTCACATTTTTGTACTACTGTCCTCTGTCCTTCCACGGGACTCTTTGTGTATAGCAAAAAGTAAAACTTTATACTTGTTAAATAGTAACTTCCCTCTTCTCTCCTCCCCCCAGCTCTTGGCAACCACGATTCTACTTCCTATTTCTATAAATTGAATTACTCTAGATGGCTCATATACATAAAATCACACAATACATGGCCTTTTGTGAGTGTAAAGCAGTTAGCATGACGTCTTCAAGATTCATCCACTTATAGCAGGTGTTAGAATTTTCTACCTTTTTAAGGCTGAAAAATATCCTATTTATGAGTCTGTACACACAAATCCATTCACCCATTGATGGACAGTTGGGTTGCTTTGGCCTTTTGGCTGTTGTGAATAATGCTGCTATGAACGTAGATGTACAAACACCTCTTTGAGTCTCCACTTTCTTTTGGACATGTGCCTAGAATTGCTGAACCATATGGTAATAGTCTTTTTAATATTTTAAGGAACTGCCATATTGTTTTCCATAGCAGCTGCACCATGTTACATTCGACCCACAGAGCACAGAGTTGTAATTTCTCCATATCCTATCTGACACTTGTTATGCTCTGCATTTCTTTTTTTTTTTTTTTAGTTTTTAGTTTTTAAATTTCAGATTAGTAAGGGGGTGCATATGTTTTGTTTACATTCTTTGTATTCATACAGACTGGGTCAAAATTATACGTGTTCCCTTCACCTGGATAGTGGGCACTATACTCAACAGGTGTAAATATGCTATTCTCAGTTTTTATTTTTTCGCAGTAGCCATCCTGATGGATGTGAGGTTGTGTTTCACTCTTGTCTTGATTTGCATTTCCCTAATGATTAGTGATGTTGAGCATCTTTTTCATGTTCTTATTGGCCACTTGTATATCTTTTTTGGAGATGTTTATTTAAGTTCTTTACCCATTTTTAATCAAATTGTTTTTATGATGTTGAGTTGTAGGATTCTTTGTATATTCTGGATATTAACCCCTGATCAAAATATGTGACCTGAAAATATTTTCTTTCACTCCATGGGTTGTCTTTTCACTCTGTTGATTGTGTCCCTTGATGCACAAAAGATTTTAATTTTGATATAGTCCAATATATCTATTTTTTTCTTTTGTTGTCTATGCTTTTGATGTCATATCTAAGAACTCATTATCAGATCCAGGTCATAAATATTTTCCCCTATGTTTTCTTCTAAGAGTTTTATAGTTTTAGCTCTTACGTTAGGTCTTGATCCATTTTGAGTTAATTTTCGTATATGGTATAAAATAATCATCCAACTTCATTCTTTTCCGTGTAGACATCCAATTTTCCTAGCATCAGTCTGTTAAAATCCACTCTTTTTATGTACTGCAAAGGAAGTCAAGCAGACAGTCTTTAAGTCCCTTCTGGCACTGACGTTTTCTGATTATACTTCCTTATGCTAGTTCTAAAATAACCACATTTCAATTTCAAGTCGTGTCTCCTCAGTCTTTATTTTGGAATTGAATGACTAAATCTGCCTGTACTTCACTTGTGTCATTTGTGACTGTACAGCGTTCCCTTCAGCTGTCCCTTTTCCAGACTGAAAAATCCACATTTTGTTTAGTCTCTCCCTACACACCGTGTTCTCAGGCTATCCCGTGATCATTCTCTTACCTCTTTGGGACTTTCTCTATTTTATGATACCCTCCTTGAAGTGTGTTTCATAAGTATTATGAAAAGTACTTAAAAAATATGCATCATCAGGCAGTGCCTGTGGCTCAAAAGGATGGGGTGCTGGCCCCATATGCTGGAGGCGGCGGGTTCAAACCCAGCCCCGGCCAAAAAAAAATATATGCACATCACTGTATATAATATAAAGAGAAGTTATTTATGATTATTTTCAATTTCAATCTTATGCAGTTTTGGGCCAAGGCTGGGTTTGAACCTGCCACCTCTGACATATGGGGCCAGCACTCTGCTCCTTTGAGCCACAGGCACCACTCACAGTCTTATGAATTTTAGTCATTCTCTTAACTACATTGGCATACTTGGCCAGCCCTTCAAGGGAACACTCTACAGTGAACCTCAGGTCCTTTTTCTTAGGACCTAGAGCTCAAACATCTTTCATTTTAAATGCTAACATTTCTGATTTCTAGTTTTTAAATGCAAATGTTGCTTCAAGTCTAGTATTATATTTTCTTTAAAGCCTAGTCAAAGACCAATGTATACAAGTATTCTATTAAATCTTAGAAAGCTGCACTCTGCTTATGATTTAACGACCATTTATTATGTGTGTGCTGTATGTAAGGCACTGTCCTAGAAGATAAGGATAGACAGTGAAGGAGCCGAATAAACATATGTTGAATTGACAAAAAAAAGATGTATTTCCTGTAGAATACAGAGTTTGATATTTATCTTTAGGCCAACTTTATAAATTACATTGTGCAGTTCTTTTTGTCTTTACTCTTTTATCTACTTGATATACCATATATGAGTGATACGTTAGACATTCTCCTTGTTATTTTTGTCGATTTTCTCTTATAATTTTACTTTAAGCAACTTTGCTTTATTTGATGTTGTTTAATATCCATTATTATGTTTTTAAAAAAATCTCACTTGCCACTCTTTACCTTTAAATTCTAATTGATTGTAAGATTGTTATGTATTATCCAGCATGGTCTCGGCAGAAAAAGAGTTGTGCAAACTCCAGATGGCATAACTAGAGATGAAAGAAGGAACTACTTTCAGAAGTATAGTTGGGGTGAGGACGACACACAGGGGATGATGAGGTAGCCACAGATTAGCAATGCTGGGAAACCTTCACTAGCACTAACTAGGTCCAAA